CAATACATACACTTCAATGCTTAAATTTAATTATTTTTATTTTTTTCAAAATAAAGGCACAGGTAATGTTTTCCTCCTTGCCTTTGTTTTTAAAATAAACTTTGAACTTTTAGCCAAGCTGAGGCAGCACAAGCATGCAACACATAGAAATAAAAAGACTTGTTGGAAAAAATATAAACATAAGTATAAACATTTAAGACACAAATGCATGTACAAGTAAAGGAAAAACAATAAACATATATTTTTAAAAACAGTAAAATTTAAATTATGTGTTAAAATATTTAGACTAATTTATTGGAACTAACCTGGAAACATAAATATGAAAGTCAATTAAAATATGAAACAGGAGGTAAAGTTCTCCTTTGTTCATTTAATTGGTGCATTTTAAGTGTATTTATTTAGTGGTTCAAATAATTCTGTTTTTATTTGTAATTATGTCAGTGTTGGTCCTCCGTACCGCAGAAGCCTGATAATCATCTATTCCTTCATATCAGGTGTGTTGGAGCAGAGAAACAAGCAGAACATGCAGGGCTGCGGACCTCCAGGACCAGGACTGACCACCCCTGGGTTAGACTGATGTCAAAATGATCAAAAACCTGAATCGTGGATGTCTACCTTTGACCCTGGCGATGGTGTCCTCTCCCTGTTCCGGCTCGTGTTGCGTGGTCTCTCCCTCCGTGTTGTGCTCCACTGAGTGCTGGTACATGCCCGGGTTCCCCGACAGCAGACGCATGTAGTACTCCTTGCTGTCGTAGCTGATGGCTCGGCGGTAACGCAGAGGCTTCTGGAGGCGGACGAGACGTTGGTGAGAAGAGCCGAACACTCGCTCAGTTTGATGTTTCTGCTGGGCTCATGCTGCAGTTAGTCATTTCTAATCAGCTGCACTGAACAGCAGAGGACTGAGCAGGTCTTTGTGATATTAAAGCAAACCTCGGAGAAACTTCTAGGGTTAAATCTAAAACAGCAACAAGGAAGAACGATCGGACAAAAACATCTTCACTGGCATGCAGGAAGGACGAGCTGCTGGAGAGAACCTTCAGTGGTTAGTTTGGTTACGGCTCCACGTGATGCCAGAGAGCTTTTTAAAACCATGTCTGTTACTTTCATGCAGTCTGTGGACGTCAGGAGGGTACCTGGTGAGGGTCAAGGACCCAAACATGAGCTGAGGGGACTAGAGACACCAGAGGGGAGGAGGAGGGCTGGAGAACGTAGAGAGGAACGATGAGAAACCCTGGTTTTAAGTTCACAAACTAACAGAATCAGCAACAACCTGCAGGACTTAATGTCCTCCAGAGAAAAACAGAACAACTGTATGGAATAAATCTTGTGCCAACAGGAAGTGAATTTGAATTGCTCAGATTGAATCTGAATGTTCATAATTTCAAATTAAATGCATTGGTTTGAAAATAAATTTCACTAAATTCAAAATAAATTTAAAGTTTTGTATCTGAATTAATTTGCTTTGAAACTGTATTTTGGTTTATTAAAAACTCAGTTTGACTACTTTCACTTTCAGTTCCATAATTCAGATTTTCAGATTTTTGTGTCACATCCTGGTCCTTGAGAAAGCCAGGCAGAGTAATCAAACACAGATCCACAGATTTATGTTTTACTTTGGTGTTACGATTACAGAAGGGAAACTTCACCAAAGTGAAACATAAATCTGTGGATCTGTGTTTGATTACTCTGCCTGGCTTTCTCAAGGACCAGGATGTGACACAAAAATCTGAATTATGGAACTGAAAGTGAAAGTAGTCAAACTGAGTTTTTAATAAACCAAAATACAGTTTCAAAGCAAATTAATTCAAATACAAAACTTTAAATTCAGTTTGAATTTAGTGAAATTTATTTTCAAACCAGTGCATTTAATTTGAAATTCTGCACATTCAGATTCAATCTGAGCAATTCTAATTCACTTCCTGTTGGCACAAGATTGATCTCATATAAAACCTCTGACCAAACATCAATATTCACATTTTTTTCTTGAAATAAAAACTAAAAGCAACACGTTTCAAGGTTTAAAGCAAACAAAAACTCAAAAAGCAGGACATCTGCCATCACAAACCAGTAAAATCCCTCAGCAGACCCCCGAGAATGACTGAATTATGCATTATAAAAGGAGACCTGGGGGTCTCAGAGTTTATTTAAGCTCATAATTTCTCATCAGAAGAGTTTTTGTGTTGTTAAAAAGCTGAAATCTGTGTGTCTGGGCTGGTTTCAGCTGAATACCTGAGCTGAGTTGGTGTTGGTCTCGGTCTCGGGGATGTAGGGGTAGTGGATGTAGAACATGTCGTTGCGGACCATCTTCTTCCTCATGCGGCAGGGCCCCTCCGTCATCTCCAGAGTGAACTTGTCCAGGTGGGAGCCAATGGGTGGACCCCAGAGGCCACGCTCCCGCAGCAGCTCGTACTCGATGGCTGCCCACTCCTCCGTCACGTACTTCAGCACGTTCTGCTGCCGCTGTGAGACGGGGGGATGGAGGGAGAGGACAGAGAGACTTTTTTAAAATCCTGCTCTGAGCTCTTGGCTCCTTCCTGATGAGGTCATCTGTGTACCTCCTGGTATTCTTTGTACTGCATGGCCAGCAGGTCTCTGACCACTGCGATGTGAGTGAACATCCACTGGAAGGTTTCCTGTTGGTCACAAACAGCTGAAGTTACACAGCAGAGCTGAGAGCCGTACGGTCTGAGGTTCATCACCTGGCTTCCTGTTTACCTGTGCTGTGGGACTGTTCTTGTTCAGGTTGTTCTCCTTCTTGTTGCGACGGACGCCGGTCAGCTTGGAGAGGCCGAAGCCGCTGCTGACCCGGGACAGTTTGGACTGGGCGGCCGGTGCTGCAGCTTCACCACGACTGATGCACTTTTTCTCATGAGCTGAACCCCAGAGGAGACGGAGAAATAAAAATCTAACTTTGAGTTTGTGTCTGGCTCTGCAGACAGATTTCAACTTCTGAAATGTTCTTTGTTGGTGACCAGAAGGGTGGGCTCAGTTAACCAACAAGTTAGATTCACTAATCGACAATCAGTAATACTCAACAAGAATCTTAGCTACGCTAACGCTACACCGCTAAACATAACAGAATTAATGGGAGCTAACGCTAACAGCTGAGACCAAAGTCGCACAAACCTGATGTTAGTTTTCTATTGGTTTATTTGAACGGGATCATTTGTGGCTGTGTAACTTGTGATACTTCCAGTTTGACCTTTTCAGAATAAAAGCATTTCTTTGATCAAGTTTGTATTTTCAGAATTAGTTTGAAATTAGTCAAACAACAATAAAAATCATTGTGCTAGCATATTTTTTGCATAAACGAATTTACTCATGCCAAACAGCACTTTTAGCTCTTAGCTACATATGTCAAACAGCATCTTTAGCTCTTAGCTACTCATACCAAACACCACCTTTAGCTGTTAGTTACAGATGCCAAACAGCACCTTTAGCTCTTAGCTACTCATACCAAACAGCATCTTTAGCTCTTAGCTACTCATACCAAACAGCATCTTTAGCAGTTAGCTACATATGCCCAACAGCACCTTTAGCTGTAAGCTACTCATACCAAACAGCACCTTTAGCAGTTAGCTACATATGCCCAACAGCACCTTTAGCTGTAAGCTACTCATACCAAACAGCATGTTTAGCTCTTAGCTACAGATGCCAAACAGCACCTTTAGCTCTTAGCTACTCACACCAAACAGCATTTTTAGCTCTTAGCTACTCATACCGAACAGCATTTTTAGCTCTTAGCTACTCATACCAAACAGCACCTTTAGCT